GGGAAGAGCTGGCCGCTTATGCGGGCGAGGAGCAGGGGAGGGGGGAGCCGGGCGGCGGCGGGGCCGGAGCGGAGCGGGCGCAGCCGCGGTTGGGTGCGAGCTTCGTGTTGGGGCTGAAATCGGTAACCCCGTTGTCTGCTCTGTGCTGCAGATGGAGCTGGAAGCGCTGCGCTCAATCTACGAGGGAGATGTGTGCTTCAGGGAGCTTAGCCCGGTTTCCTTCCAGTACAGGGTAAGGCGGGTCGCTGCCGCGCAGGCTTCGCCTTGAAGTTACTCTGCGGCGTTGTGGCTGGAACACAGCTGGGTATCCGATGGACAGCAGGGGCTAGATCCGCAGGCCATCCTTTCAGGATCTTTGGTGTGATGATGCTTATCTGCATAATATTTGGGAACCTGCTCCCAGCGTGGTTTATTATCCCGTAGCTAGGAATCCTACTCACACGTCTATGTACTGCATAACTAGAACCCTCGAACTGGCTGAAGGAGCCAGTGATACTTAACATAGCTGGTCACAAATATGGAGTCACTTCAGTGTGTGAAGCTCTGACCCCCTCTCATTGCTCTGTTACAAGGTTCTAGTCTCTTGTCCAGAGATAGTTGATGTGCCTTGCCTGCGTGCTAAAGAGAAAATCCACAGAATGCTTTGGGCATGTGCACTGATACGATCTGCTCAGCAGAGGCATACGGGGAGTGCTGAGTTTGAGATATGTAATTAGATTCTGGCGTGTAATTCTTGCCTGCTTTCTCGGATTTAAAGCCCTGGGAGTTCTTCTGGGCGTGGAGTGAGGCAGATCTTTGGGTGGCCAGAGAACTTTACTGATGAAAACTGAAGCACCCATGGGGCAGAAGGGACACTTCTGAAAATGCCATGTCCCTGTAGTGGGGAGGAGGCATCTAAAATAAACTTTTTGTGACTTCTCAAATAACTTCAGAATAACATCAGCAATTGTAATGAGATAAGTTGATTTAATTAATAGAACTCGAATCCCATCCATGTAAGTGCAGCCTTCCCTCACCGATAGGACCGTTATTAGTAAATTTAACTTCCTCAGAAGAGGGAGTGTGACATGCCTACAAGTCTGCAGTGTATCACTGTACATTTTGCTAGCCTTGGTCATTGCTGATTTTTATTAGACAAAAATAATTGTCAAAAGGTAGAACTGATTTAAACACTGTAAAACTTCATGTCAGACAAAGGTAGTCACGCGTCTTTCCCATGAAGAATAATATGTTTTATGAAAAGGCATGGTGCAACTAAGTGCATGAGAAGGTTGAAAGAATTAGTATGCCATTTTCCTGACCCTCATTCGCCTCGCATACAAAAGACTGATGTTCTGTAATCAAGTAAAACTACCCAATTTTTAGGTTGCACTGGCAAGGAGGAGCATAATCACACAGCTTTCTGTGTGGATGTCCTCGATGTGCAGAAAGTACTTTCCTTAAGGGATTAGCTCTGTAAACTGTAACACCAATTCTCTGTTTGGCAACGGTGGGAACTGGATGGCAACATTGTAGATGATATCTTGATAAATGTTGCAGATTCCTTATTTACTTACCTCTAAAACAGGGGCTCCATTCTGCTGACACACACACAATAAAACAGCTTGGATGTGCGGGGGGGGGGGGAAAAAATAAAGCTTTTGTTTTAATTAATTTTGAAGTGCAGTATCCCTACCTTGATTTGGACATTTTTTTCTGGCTGCACTTCATTCCATGTGGTTTGAGGAAGCCAGATTTTGACGGTTCTAGAAGGAGGGAAATAAGGGAGACTTTTTGGGCGTTTCTGAATCGTGTCTAACCAACTTTGTTGCACTAGTCTTCCAGATCCTTGTGTGAAACTGGTATTTCTGTTTGTATAGTATGCCTTTGGTAGCACCTGTATTAGTTTTAAATTTACAAAAAATGGTTTGTATTTAATTTAACATTATTGTAAGGATCGTATACGTAATTTGCGTTCACTAGGTTGGTTTGCCGTGCATTATTATTTAAAGTGTGCCTTTTATAATGTTATGCTTTTTTAATCCAGTCTCATTCTACTGACTTGTTAAATCCTGTACTATTCATGCTTTCTTATAGTGAAGTAAAATATCTGTAGAGATGAGCTGTAAATATTGACATTCTTATCTGTTATTTTTGCTATCTTAGGTCACTAGTTTATCGTTGTCTTTACTTCATCACTGGCTTGTGGTTTGTTTTCATATTGCCCTGAGCTTGGATATGCAGGGGGAAAAAAAGAAGGGTTCATCTTTTCTGTTCTCTTATATGGTTGTATAATGTTTGGCTTGCAGGTGTTACAAAGTAGATTCTAAAACCAAGTGATTAAAACAAACAAACACATAAAGAGAGCTCTGAATGTTTCGGCTGCTTTTCCTGGGATGAAAACTCAGGTTGAAGGTTAATATTCATGTCATAAATTTAATTATTTTCCTAGATAACAACTTTATTTTCTGATACCTTGATGAAAAAGTTGTTATCTTAGGGAATTTGGATAGTCTTGAGTGAAAGACTTGGACATTGGCATTGTAATCCTTAATAAGTGACTGGAAACTGTTGATTTACAAAGTTTTTCTTTTCCCTTCAGATAGGTGAAAATGGAGATCCCAAAGCCTTTCTAATAGAAGTTTCTTGGCCGGAAACATATCCACAAACAGCACCAGTCATATCCATGGATGCTTTCTTCAACAACACAATGCAAGTATTTGACAGCTTCACTGCCTAGCCTTGGAGTCGGGGGGGGAGCTTTTTGGTTGACAAGTTTTTCTTCAGCTGTCTAGATTGCAGCTGAGCTTTATGGTTTCTTTCAGATCTTCAGCTATTAAACAAAGTATACTGGATAAGTTAATGGTAGAAGTTGAAGCCAATCTTGGAACTGCTATGACATACACACTTTTTGAATATGCCAAAGATAATAAGGAGTTGTTCATGGAAAATCAGCCTGTTAACACTGTGGTAAGTAGATGAATTCAGGTCTTAATCTCTTGCTTTTTAAACTGGAAAAAAAAAAGTGGTTATTACAAGTCTAAATACTTCATAGCTCTGTCCTTAAGTTGTTAATTGGTGTATTGGGTACACACATGTTAGTGGTTAAACAGTGACGCACAGAGGATGGTGCCACAATGCTCTGTGCTCTTAATTTGTTATTTTGCTGTTAACACCAAAATGATTGTGGGCTGCAGTTCTGTCCCACAACGTAACATAAGTAACATAAAAATGGAGACTTGGAGCAGAAGCAAAACTGAAGAGAGCTGAAACAGACTAAAGACATCTGCTTGGGGACAAATGACTGCAACCTTCCTGGGACACAATGGATTGCATAAGTGTACTTCCAGGGTCTTGAATGAGTCAGGCTGGGTCTGTTTGTGGCCTTCTGTGTAAGCACACTGTTGGCCGTTGTGGTGCTGCAGATTTGCTTTGAGGAAGAAGGAATGGTTTCCATGTTTGGGAAGTCTGAATCCCTTCAGACTAAGTAACAGTCATGATTAAATTTTAAAAGTGTAAGAGGTGTGTTTGCATCTTAGAAAAGTTATAATTCCAGTCCCTAATACATGGGGTTTTTAAACTATAATCACAATTAGGTGTTGGCTAAAAGCTGCAGGCTGCTGACAGCACTGCTTCTTTCTGACAGTCCAGGTGTTTCTGTCTGTCGGGTTCAGTCATCGCACGCAGGGGTATCTGCAGAACTGGTATGCAAAATGTTAACCACCGTTTTTATCCTTCTCAGACTTCAGTAAGCAATAGTATTGCAATTGGAACTCCCGACGTGCCAGCAAGTAAGAAAAAAGACAAAAAGGAGCAGTTATCCAAAACCCAGAAACGAAAACTAGCCGATAAAACAGGTTTGTTCGCCATAATGTTGTTTTGTTTGAGCGGTATGAGAATCCAAATTTTATAGCAGTGACATCGTGCTGGAGTCAGAATCAGCAGTCATCTGTTTATAACATTAACTGCTCTAAGTCTGTTGTTTTGTTTTGCTTGTTTTAGGTTAATTATTCTTGCCTGAGATGTTAGTTCCAGTCAAAGCAACTTTCTATAGAGCAAGGATTTCAAGATGTCATAGGTTTTGTTATAGTTTTGAGGGCTTTGTGAAATTTTCAAAAAATACTTGTGAGCGGAGAGCATTTGGGACTTCGAAAAATTCACTTTCAACAACAGGTGTGGTTTGTTGATGGGCCCTTGTAAGTAATTCACGTTATTAGAAATCATAGAATCACAAAACAGTTTG